GGCGCACGGGAAAAAGCAATGTTTACGCTCCGGGTGTCAGCATATGATGAGTAAGATGCGAGTTTCGCTTGGGAGGCGCCTTGCGTGCATAGTGGCCCTTGTCTGAGAGATGTATCTTTTGTTTGCTCTGGACTCTGGAAGAAACGGGCTTGTTTAAGTCGGGCGTCTCTCGATGTCCTCTGGCGACCGATTCTCCTTCGCACTCTGTCATCAAGTCTCAACCCTTTGCCTTGAACCCAGAACACTACAGCCTCACATGGCGCAGCCCAGCAACTCGTGCTGGTGGGAGACTGTTCAGGGAATCTCAATATCTCAGCGGTTTACCGCCGCGCTAGCAGCGGTCGAAGCATGAGCCCAGCCACATGTACAACCAAACGGATGCTTGTACAGAGTTGAGGATTAGACGCCTCCCTGCCAGGTGGACACATCGGATGGCGTGAGCCATGATTCCAGCCATGATTCCAGCCAGGAATCCAGCCATGATTCCAGCCATGATGCCAGCCATGATACCAGCCATGATTCCGGCCATGGACACGGACGTCGACTGCACCGTGCTCACGGACGTCGGCTGAGCGGTGCGGGGCCCGGTCCGTTATAGACAGATGCAAATTTAATAGCTCCGTTACAGCCAGATGCAAATTTAATGCCTCTGCCACCAACCGATCTGCCATGACGCATGCATCGCCGCATGTACCCACCACTACCATTATACTGCTTACTACTGATTATACTTCGACGACGGCTGCTACTATTGCCCGTGCCACGGACACTGCGACTCCGACTGCTACTGCTACTGCCACTGCCACTGCTACTGCTGTGCTACTGCGGTGCTACTGCTACGACGACGACGTACGCTCGTTTTGCATGTCAGACTCGATTTCAGTTCACGTCAACACCAAATGCTCGTGCTTGATCCTGCATCCCAGAAAGACTCGCTGCTGGCTGTTGGCACTCCTGAACCCTAAACCCTAAAACCCTGAAACTCTCAACCCCTGACCTCGTTTTTTGAAGGAGAAGTGTCCGAGCTGCTGTCGAACATTGCCTTCTGCTGGCCTCCAAGTTCAGCTTTCGGGCGGGGCTTCGGGCGAAGTTCAGAGCGGATGAAAGCTCCCGGCGTTGCTTCAGCTGCTACGCCCTATGTATCCCCCAGAATCATAGTAGCAGCATACCTCAAAATCCTGTTCTAACTCTTAAGCTCCGCGGGTGATCAGAATCCGAGGTCTGACGAGCTGCGGCTTTGTGGCCTTCTTCGTGCAGGGCTGAATCCTGGAAGTTGTAGTTTGTGACTCCGTGGATTTCGGATCGAACTAGAGTCGTCGTCCAGAGAATGGCAGAAACTGCCAGCCTTGGCTTTCGCAGAGGTCGGGGTCTTGAAGCAGCCGCTGATCCTGGGATATCTGCTGGGCGCAGTCCTCAGCCAACTCCACATGCTAGGGAAGGTGTGTAGGCCCAACTGCCGGCCCTAAAACCCTAAAAACCCTGAACCCTAAAACCCTGAACTTTGCCAGGTGGAGTGCTTGTGGGCCCCAACCTTGGCTTGGACTTGGTTCACAGTCATGACAACGTCTGCCACTCAGCTTCTCGACAAAGCCATCAGCGGGCATGGACAGCAATTTGCTTCAACTACTGCCAAGCAGCCGTAAACCCTAAACCCCTAAACCTTAAACCCCTGAACCCTAAACCCCTAAACCCTGAACCCCTAAACCCTGAACCCCTAAACCTTGCCCAGCGTCAGGTGGCCGAGATCGCCAACCTTGGCTTGGTGTTCCTCCTGTTCATGATCGGCAATGAGCTCGGTCAGCGGAGATTCTGCTGATTCCTGGTGCACGCGTCACAGTCCGTTTGAAAGTTTCCGGAAATTAGGGGTACCCTTTTTGGGGGGTCCTTTTAACAAGGATCCTACAATCTAGGGTACTATAATAAACGGGTCCCCGATTTTCGGAAACCACCATCTCTGCCGGAGTTTCTGCGTAGACCTGTCCGTCATCGGCACATTCGGAATTCGAAATGCGAGAGGCAGAGCCGATTTCCCGGAGTGAGTGCATACTTGGAGGATCATGGGAGTTAGTAAAAGGCCAAAAGTAGGGTAACTATACTTATACCTACTTATAACCCCAATTAAGGTACTTATAACCGTACTTACTAAGTCCCATGATCCTCCAAGTAGTGCTTCCTTGAGGTTTGGAGTTGGACGTCAAGGAGATTCTGCGAGTCCCAGTCTCAGCTTGGGATGCAATTCTGTTGCAAAGTCTTACCATAGGGGTTATAATCAGGGGTTAAGGGGTTTAGGGTTCAGGGTTAAGGGTTTAGGGGTTTGGGGTTAAGGGCTTTGGGGTTACTTACCTATGGTTAGTAGGGAATGGAAGAATGGTAGTAATAGTGGTTATGATTGTCCCCATTCCTCCATTCCCTACTAACCAAAGGTAAGAAGTGCAGGACATCGTACTGGACTTGAGACAAACCTGCAGCATAAATCTACTCAATCCAATGATGAGGACAACCTATAGTCTCCACTGTAGTTCCTTTTAGTTGGTTGACCCAAAACTATATTATAGGATCCTAACCATAAAACTGGTCAAGCACGTGGGATCCCAGCTGGATCTAAACATCCGGTCCTTAACTAACCCATGCTCCGAGTTTCTGCTGGTCGACGCAGACCTCGAAGAAGCAGGGTCGGAATCTAGGCAAGGGTCGCGGACTTCGATGAGAACATATCTTATCTCCAAGTCTTGGCCGTGCTCCATGACTCAGCCGCTAAAGCCTGCTCTACACCATACTTTCATTTCTAGCTACACTGCCATAAAAACCCTAAACTCCGAAGTCCTGAAAAGCAACTGCCCTAAACCCTAAACTGCCCTAAGCCCCGAAGTCCTGAAAAGCAAGTGCCCTAAACCCTAAACTGCCCTAAACCCCGAAGTCCTGAAAAAGCAAAGCTTCCAGATGGGCCGCGTGGTGCTGCTAACCGGCTTCTTCCAGTTTCCGGTTTGCTTTGGTGCCGGGGACCTCGGCAAATCGAGCGCTCTGTGCTATGAATGGCTGCTCTGGTTCTGGGTGTGTATGTATGTGCGTGTATATATGTACATGATATATACTTGTATACAACTAGTTATGGTTGTGTATATGCACATATATATATATATATATGCACATATATATATATATATATATATATATATATATATATGTGTGTGTGTGTGTGCGTGTGTGTGTGAATGTATGTGTACATATATATATATATATATATATATATATATGCTACCCCCCCCTCATGTACCCACGCTTTGTGCTTGAATCGTGTAATTAAACCTTTACTTTGCTTGTGTGGTAGCATTTCTGCTCACTCCTGGCAGTGTGCTCTACTTGCACGAGAAAGTTCATGGGACCCATACGTATGTGCAGATTTACGTGGTTGGTGGCAACAGTCGACAGACATTGCATGTGTTGGCGAATGAAGCAGCAGAACTTGAACGCACGAATTGTTTTCTTTTGATGGAGGCCCCAACTCCCAGGTGCATTGGTGTCCTAGGACACAAACTTCGTCATAAAGCCGGTACACAGGTCACCGCAGCCTACCCAAAGGTCAGCATTTCGGTTCCAGTACTCGTACTGGGCCGACCTGAGCTTTGCTCGGAGTAGTGAGCTGCCCGCTTTGGTGTGCTGGTTCACAAGGACGCGCTCCTTGAGAAATCGCCAGCAGCGGTCGATGATCTGTGTGCCGGATTTGACTTTGAGGGTCTTCCCCTTAGTACCTGGCAGCTTGTGGGTAACGATCCGGACATAGTGGGGGCGTTGCCACTGCCATATCCCCTTAACCTTCACTCGCTTTTTGCAGTGAACCACCTTGTCGTGCAGGACCCCAGGAAGCTTGAGCTTGTAGCTCTTGGCAGAGTCTGTGTGCAGGATCACTTTGCGATCCCGCAACAGCTCGGTGCCCAAGGCCTTCCACTCAATCTTCCTGATGGCGCCAGGCCCGGGGGCACGCTTCACGGTGATCTTGGGCTGCAATTTGCGAAGCACCAAGGTCTCGGGGCGGCCGCGCTGAATGATGCCCGCCCACTGCTCCCACATCATCACACAGTCTTTGGATTGGATCAAGTGTTTGAACTCCACATCCTGAGATATGTCGCGTCTGTCGAAGGTAGCCTCATCAGCCTCGATATCCTTCCACGACTTGCCATCCCCGAACACAATCTCCTTTTCCTTCTTCTCGACATACGCCTGCCTCAGCTTGCAGATCTTCTTCTCCATGTCCTCGATAGCCTTGTGGTTGATGTCGAGAAGAAGGTGGATCTTGCTCTGGGGAATCCTGTGCAACTTGAGTAGAATATGAGCGGCCTGCATTTGGAGGGACTGAGCCTGCGGTCCTTGGCCTTCGGTGAAGAGTGGGTGTAGATGGTGCGGGTTCATCCACACGTGGCAATTGCGATGACTGCACCGATGTTTGAGGCAACCGCGGGGATCGAGCTGCAGTTTTGACAAGGTGCCTTTGGAGCAGCTCGGGCAGGTCTTGCCCTCCCATTTTGGGATGAACTTGTCGGCGATGAGGATATTGATGATCTCCTTGTCGGAGGCTCGCAGGAGCTGATGGAGCGTCCTTTTCCACTTGATTTGGTCCTTGCGCTGTCCACGAGGACCCACAGCACAATTCTCACGAACATACTTGACACCCTGCCAGTAAGTCGATTTCTTGGCGGCGGGTCGCTTCTGGACCGATCTGAGCTTGCCCTTCTTTGGCACGACGTTGTTGACAATGCACTTGCCCATAGCTGTCCACTGGAATAGAGGGGACTTGGACTAAGGTTTGCTGTGTGCCAAAATGCTGTGCTGAGGACGAAGACATTGCCTGCAAGCTCTACACAGAAGGCATACAGTCACACAGCTAGCACCTGTCACAAGTAAGTCAGAGCAAGAAGCCCGCATAAATGCACTGCCGTGTGGTGTTTTCCTTGCTGGTACTTGCTTGCGATGTGATTTATAGTGCCCGAGCCCAGAGAAAGACCTCAGTTGTGCATGTGCCGAGCGGCCTCCTCGTCTGCCGTCATGCCCGGTTCAGCTGCCAAATTGATGTCCTGGTCGGTCTCTGTCTCTGTCTTCGGGAGCGGCTCAAGGGATGGTGTCTTGACACGAAGACGCTTGGCGGGAGAAGGGTAGCTGAATGTGCCAAGACGATTTGGGCGGGGCCCATTGCCAATGGCTGGGAAGACCGGGGGTAGACCCATCGATGCACGCTGAGCATCGGGATCTTCATCTGATGGATCGTCAGGAGATGCCGGGAGGTGCCGCGGAGGTCGAAGCCAAGCCTGCACTTGCGTGTTGCAATGCGACACATACTCATCTCGTGAGGAGAAGCTGGACATGGTCTCGACGCTCGCCTTGATCATCTCCTGCTCCTTGTCTACCTGGGCCTGGTACTCAGGGGCGTACACGAGGATGCCTGACTTGTACATATTGTAGACTGGTTTGCACTCTTCTTCAAGCAAGTCTTTGTGCAAGTCGTTCTGAACGATTCTATGGATGAGAAAGTCCGGGTTCTCACTGGGAAAGCGCAAGTACAATGCAGACCCAGTGAAGACGCGGACGGTGCTGCGTTTGAGAACTGCGAGCTTGTCCTTGATGTGAGCATCGCCGAAGAGAGGGTCCACCAACTTCATGAAAGAGTCTGTGGACAGTGTTGTGTCCCCTGGCTTTGTATCCTTCGGGTCCTCGCCCGTATCATTGGAGGCATAGGCTCTCATCTGATTGCGAAGAAGTCGAGCGTCGCAATATCTGCCTTCGACGGTCCCATCCTCATCGACAGTCACAAAGGCCTTCAGATCAGCGACATCAACCTTTCTTTTGGAAGGATCATCCAGAAAGATGGCCTCTTGGATTTGTGGCGCACGTTGTCTAAAGTTGTCTAGGGACTTCGCCCGCCGCCAACCCGGCAGCACACCCTGCAGCCCAAGTCGCTCAATGTGAAAACGTCCGAGTGCCATGGCCATGGCAATGACAGCAGGCGTTTTACCTACCCCAGGATTGCCTGCGATGATGACCGCGGTAGTAAGTAGCAGCGGGTAGAGAAGAGGCAGAATGTGCTTGACCAAGTCCTCCTTCAAGTTGTAGGTGTTCAAGGGAAACTCAGTCATGCTTTGAGCCCCGCTCACGCCACGTGACTTATTTTGTGCCATGCCTCGCACCTTCACTTCAGGCCACCCAGCGATGGGTGATCCTGAATCGGGCCGAATGTGGGTAAGTATCCAAAATGTCTGTTCGTTGCGGGCGTCGCATTCAGGTGCATGAAGATTGATGAACCTGATGCCTTCCGATAGGTCGTCGGTCTCAGGAGACCACGTTGCTGATGTAGACCGGGTCAAGTTGCATGACGATTTGTCCTGCAACGAATGCCAATGTACATGATGCCCATGCACCCTTTCCAAAGCCCACTGCAAAGCTTTCTTCACGGCGTGAGGACCGTTGCGGAAAACAGGTACGAGAGGCGTCCCGCTGCAAAAGGCAATGCCTGCCTTTGAAGGAACTGTTTTCTCCAGGTAGAGAATCTTCAGGACATTCATGCAGCCGTCACCTGTGTTCTCGATGATAATGTCTATTTTGCTCGTTGCTGGTGGCATGTTGGAGAAACGAAGGGGTGGAGGTAGTTCTGCAAGTTTGCCTTCGGCTACGAGCTTGGCAATGGTATTGGCACTGCCGCACTCCACAATGCCCACGTGGGAGTCCATGATGACAGAGGCAGACTTCACGGCCTTGCAATCGAGAGGCCGGCACACTCCCTCGAGAAAGTCGGAGATGGTCACACGATCGCCCGAGTCGTTGGTGGAAATGTCAGGATGAGGAAGAACCTTAACCTGCCATCTCCGATCGGAAACCTGGTTCATGCCCTCATCAAGTAATCGACCCGACATTGGCTGGAAGTGTACCGGAGGCGAAGGATGGTTTGTGTGCTAAGACAGAGCCTCGTGACAAGAGAGCGGACATGGCATTGGGTGTTTGTGTGATGCAACCTGGCACACTGCAATTCACATGCATGCACTACGGTCTTTATACCATGTGTTTGTGCGGGACACTGCTTAACCGAGAACTGCCGAGAACTACCCACATCAAGACGCAGGCACGTGTAGCGGACTTCGGTCGTGGCCATGATTTACTACTACCAGAACTTGTACCAGCGCTAGCACAAGTACAAGTATGGTACTAGTACTAGTACTCGTAACCACGGTTTGCAAGTGCATGCCGGGTTGCAAGACCGCAATGCAAACGGAGCCGGCCTTTTTTCCGAATTTGCTCCGGGCCTCTAGTGCAGAACACTTAAACCTCAGCCTCCAGCCGAAGTAGAAGCCCCCAGAGAAAAGATATGTTGGGACAACATCATGCCTGCTCACACTTGCCCTTGTCAATCTTGATGCGGTGCATGAGGTTGTAGCAAATGCGCTGCTTCTTGGGGTTGTTCCCGGCATTTCGAAGAATATACCGCATGGATTCCCATGCATCATGCCAGTCGCCTCCCCAAGAGACGGTATTGGTGCTCTTAACAATCCTTCGTTTCGTAGCGGAACTATCCGAGGAGGAAGATGAAGAGCTGGAACTTTCCTCCGAATCGTCGGGTGCTTGATCATCCTTATCCTCCGCATCGTCGTTGTTGGGCTCCTGGTTGTTGTTCTCACTCGGGTCGCCGTTGCCGCTGGGTTCCACATGTTTCGTGTCGTCATTGGGCACAGCATCTGCAATCGCAAGCGCCGGTGAGTTGTCCGGTGCATCCTTTGACCATTGACGCTTCTCTTGAGCAAGGACACGCAAGACGCAAGAGCCTGGTAGTAGCGTCTTGCGTCCAATCTCCTCGCAAGCCAACCTTTAGCTTGCATGCCCTTTGAACATTGTTGAGGAGAAGCCTCAAATCGGATGCAGACATGGGAAGCCGAGAGTTGTGCACGGCGACCCGTTGGTCGTTCACAGCGCTCAAAATGACGTCGTCCTGGCGGGAGTTGGAGTCCCACGGTGAAGAGGTTGGAGGAGAAGGGTCTTCGCGCGATGATTCCGCTAGGCGAACGGGTGAAAGATGAAGAACTGCTCCACCATCTTTCATGGAGACATAGCCGGCGATGGGCATTCGGGCCATGATTGCAGGAATAGGTTCCAAGAATGGAATGCTTTGAACACTTTCGGCTAGGCAGCATGTGGATTTCAATGCGGCTTGTCATTGCGCGTGAAGTGTTTGGGATAGTATAAGAATCCAGATCACACGATGTTCACAGCTTTGGTGGTGACCGTAGCAAAGTTGTACTGACGATGCTGATTGAACAGCTTGGTGCCTGCTAGACTCTAGACTGCAGCATGGAGGATTCCGCTAAATGGTGAATGAGAATCAATACTGCGAAACATGATGGGCTTACATTAGTCTCCTGAAGCAGCAAACAAGAATCATGACTGGCATACTTCATAAAAGATCAGTGTAACTGACACAAACAATACTCAGAATCATGCTGGACGTACATCTCCTGAAGCAACAAACACAGCATTGACTGAATAATGACTGGTGACTGGCATACTTCACGACAGACCAGATGTTATTACGACCATGACAATACACACGCCGAGTAAGAAGGAGGGAAACCGAATCATCCGAATCATTTCCGAATCATTTTGATTCGGGCCCGGATCCAAGATTCAAGATTCAAGATTTTCCAGGGGTCTTGCCAAGGAATCTTGGATCCGACCCCTCAGCCGAATCATCCGAATCATTTCCGAATCATTTTGATTCGGGCCCGGATCCAAGATTCAAGATTCAAGATTTTCCAGGGGTCTTGCCAAGGAATCTTGGATCCAGTGGGTGAGTGTCGGATCCAAGATGCCCAGGCAAGACCCCTGGAAAATCTTGAATCTTGAATCTTGGATCCGGGCCCGAATCAAAATGATTCGGAAATGATTCGGATGATTCGGCTGAGGGGTCGGATCCAAGATTCCTTGGCAAGACCCCTGGAAAATCTTGAATCTTGAATCTTGGATCCGGCCCCGCGCCCGAATCAAAATAATTCGGTTGATTCGGGGCTATTTTGGAGAAAACATGGCATGAAATAATGTAGTTGCAATCTGCAGGCACTCCCCCCCAATCCCCCCCAATCCCAAAGTCCCACGCTTTCCTGAACCTGAGATTCAGGAGAAAGGCTTGGGAACAAAGGGGATCTCACGGACCCACGCCTTCCGAAAACTGGAATTTAGCAGAAAGGCGTGGGTACATGGGGGGGGGGGGTACCATATATATATATATATATATATATATGTGACTGTTTTTCTATACATACTTGTTTATTTATGTCACATACGAGCATGCATACATGCATACATATATGTATACACATACACACAGTGGCACCAGTATCTGTGTATGCATGAGGCAAGCGGGTAAGGAAGGTGGGTAGGCAGGTGGGTAGGGGGTCTGGTAGCTTAGCATGCATAGGCATGCATGCATGTAACGCTATGTCATATAGGTGTTATATACAAACATGTGTGTTCACACGGAACGGACCTCAGCGAGCTGGAAAGATCGAGAGAGCGGAGAGAGCTGCATGACTCCAGCATCATGCGCCGATATGTTTAAACTGAAGCCTGGAAATCTAAAGCCTTCTCCTGTGATCAACTTGTGATTGGAAAGCTTGTTGCATGTGAGTCATTCTCTTAGACTCGGGAGTTAAATCCCAAACCCTCAACCCTAAAACCCTAAACCATAACCCTAATCCCTAAGCCCTTTATAACCTATATCCCGTAAAGCCCTGGACCCTAAACCATAACCCTAAACCCTAAACCCTTTATAACTTATAACCCGAAACCCTAGACTCTTTATGACCCTAAAAGCCCTGAACCCTAAACCATAACCCTAAACCCCCTAGAGCTTATAATTATAACCCTAAACCATAAACTCTTTACAACCCCAGAAGTCCTGAACCCTAAACCATAACAATAAACCCTAAACCCTCTAGAACTTATAACCCTAAAAACTCTAAACTCTTTCTAACCCTAGAGGCCCTGAACCCTAAGCCATAACCCTAAACTCGTATAACTTATAACCCCAAACCCTAGACTCTTTATAACCCTAAAAGCCTTAAACCCTAAACCAGAACCCTAAACCATAACCCTAAACCTTAAACTCTTTATAACCCCCAAAGCCCTGAACCCTAAACTCTTTATAATCCAAAAAGCCCTGAACCCTTTAAGAGCCGAGGCGCAATATACCCTTAATATAGCGATTATATACCCATTATATAGCCCATTGTAGGGTAGGGGTCCCCATTAAGGGTCCCTCCTTTTCCCCTTTAACAGCCGAGGCCCAATATCTCATCTTCTATCAAACCCTAAAACCCCTTTATAGAACCCTTATAGATCCATTTAGCGGAACCCTTATGGATCCCTTTAAGGGAACCCTAAAAGCCCTGAACCCTTTAACGGCCGAGGCCCAATACACCCTTAATATAGCTATTATATACCTATCCCCTAAACCCTAAACCCTTATAGTAACTTATAGATCCCTTTAAAGGAACCCTAAGAGCCCTAAATTAAGGGTCCCTCCTTTTCCCCTTTGACAGCCGAGGCGCAATATCATAACCCTGAACCCTAAACTCTTATAACCCATATATAACCCTAAACTCTTATAACCCTTAACCCTAAACCCTTTATAACTTATAACCCTAAACTCTTTATAATCCCAAAAGCCCTGAACCCTTGAACAGCTGAGGCCCAATATCTCATCTTCTCGGGCCTCGGACTGCTCGGCTTGAGCTTCGGTACTGGCGAGTATGCAAACATGCGCGCCTGCATGGTTCAGGGGGGGGGTTTAGGGGTTTAGGGTTAGGGGCTTAGGGTTTCGGGCTTAGGTTTTGAGGGGTTTTAGGGGTTTAGGGTGAATTTAGGGTTTTGGGTTTGGGATTCAGGGGTTTAGGACTTAGTTTTTAGGGGTTTAGTGGCTCAAGTTCTTAGGGGCTTAGGCCTAGGGTGTCAGGGGTTAGGTCTCAGACGGACTCAGTGAGTTTAGGGTTTGGAGTTGAGTATTTGGGGGTTCGGGGTTTAGGTCGGGTTCAGTGAACTTAAGCTAGGACCCAGAGTAGGCCCTTATTCCCTTTTTTGGGGTTCAGGTTCCCTTATAAGCCCCTTTAAACCAAAAAGGGCATCCTTTTTATGCCTGGGTTACTCTTGGGTCTAGTAAGGCTTACAAGGCTTGTCGGGTTTAGGGTTCCTAGCGGCTCGAGGGCTAAATTGCGGTTTAGGAAAGCCTTGGACCTAATGTTGAGGGTCTTGGTGCGGCTTGGGTTTAGGGTTTAGGGCTTAGGGTTTAAGGATAATGAATCAGTACTTTGTAGAGCCGTGTGAAACACAAAGCCCTGCACGAAGCAGTCGTGTTGCCTATGGCTACCATACTCCTGCTTGTTTTAGTGGCCTGAGGCCAAACCGAAAATCAACAACCCTAAACCAAAACCTAAGCTTCATATCCCTCACCGTGCAGTTCAAGGGCTTTGGCGAAAGAGAGCCCAACCCTCTTGAAGCGAGCGGGCAAAGGTGCCAGAACAAGTACAGATAAGAATGTCATAGTATGTACACAATACAGTAATATACCACAATACGCTATATATTAACCTAATATCATATAGCTGTATGCAACATGACAAAGTATGTTGGACTATCGTGTAGTATAGTATAGCATAAGCCGTTTGATTTGTTTTATTTCACAGTACAATACATTATCAAACAAGTTACACCATTAGAAGCACATAGTTTATAGTAAATGGTACGGTATATATATATATATGTATATATATATATATATATATATATATATATATATAAATATATATATATATATATATATACATACATATATATCTATATGATCCATAATGAATACAACATGCAACAATAGAATATGTAGAATATGGGTTATGTAGTATACATACACATACACATCTACATGTGTGGTATATTGGTTATGTATGTATACAAATTTGTGTGTGTGTATATATATATGCGTCATGTCATATCATATGTAATTTCCATTCTTTGTGTAACATTCAACATTACATAATATACTAGAACATTACGGAGCAAACTATGGCAGTCATACCTTGTAATGCGATATAAGAGGAGCAAAAGACTCTCCGGGGTCAGGGTTCAGAGTTGCAACTCTTAGACACGTCGAATTCCATTGAGGCCGTTGACCGTAAACCCCATGCCCTTACCCCAAGCCCAGAATCCCAAGCGTGGCGGCTGGAAAATGGGCGTTAAAAGAAATAATCCCAAGCGTGACTTCAGGCCCCGATGGAATATTGCAATGTGAGATTTTATGCACTTCTGTTCGGCGCTGTAACAGCCGCCGCGAGGCCTGTAGCAAGCACCGTAGGGTTTCAATATTGGGCTGCCTGGTTGAGGGGTTCTTAGAATCAGCATGCGACAAGGTAAGTTCGGGGTCTGTGTTAACTCCTAACGTGTTCTGACACTCACACATGGCCTTTTCAGGTACGTGGCGCTGGTTTGTGCGATTTCATCAACGATGATCGCCGGGGGCTGAGCTTCTGCAGACGTTTTTGAGACTGACACATTCCCAGCTACCCGTAGAGTGGAGCACTTACCCTGAGCCCTATAAGCAGAAATTGTATACGCCGGTCGCATGTGGACATTGACGTTAACCTCTTGTGTAGGCCTGGGCTCCTAGGGAATGATGCGGGGATGATGGGCGCACGCCCGGTAAACAGAAGCATGGCATCTCAAGAACACGGCATGTTCCTACACCCTAAACTGCACAGACTCTGCTGCTGGCTTTCCTTACAAATTTCCGGAGCGCTGCAGGTGGTGAAGTGCCTCTCAGAAAAAGGCGAGACGGATAGGCGCTCCGGCGACAGCTCGATTAAGGTTAAGGGCAAACGCTGTGTCGGGCTTGTCTGGCGTGAATTATCAGCAGCCTCTGTGACGTTTGCCTGAGCAGTCAGCTCACGCGAGATCTGCTTCAGTGAAAGGCCCAATGGTCGTCTCACAGTGGGCATTCTTATCTTCCAGGCGCGGACTTTGTCAGTTCCAGTGTCCTCCTTATTGCTGCAGCGTCTACACAAAATCTTCAAGAGATAAGGTGGGCTCAGA